TGCTGAAAGAGAAAATACACAATTTTACGTGTGTTGTTCACGTAGTTGCCCAGTAGATCTGGCAGATGATGTTCCAGGCTGGACGCCTAGAGTGCCCCAGCGCGTTGTTGGCGACGAAGTTCAGAGGCAGGTTGGCAGATCTGCCGTAGCCGATCGCGGAGAACGTGTAGTTTATGACTGCATGTTATCATTGAAGGGTTGATCACAGTCATTACCTTATTGAGAACATGAAGAATGGCATGCCTGTACAACGGGCATTGATAAAGTTGTTGTAACAATAGAATTGCTAGTTCACACGTTAAGTGATGTGATTGAAATTGCTGTTGCAATATTAAATAACACGTTACACCACGCAGGCAGTAACACAGTTCAGAGCCCTGATAATAACAGTTCAAATGTTGTGAGTGATACACAGTTCAGGTACAGTTCAAATTATTGCGGTTGCGATGTTCGAGAAACACCTTACGCCACACAGGCAGTAACAAAGTCACGTAAAAATACGCTCGCGTAAAAATACGGCAGCGTGTAATCAAGTCATAGGCTTCCGCGGCCGGTGTCATCTAAATGATCTTGGCTTCCCGAGTGTCATCCATCTTATTGTGGCCTTCTCCAGGGATGGTCTGCGAAGACTCTGAAGAAGACAACGACAAGGTGGTCGAAACGTCGGCAACACAGCCTTCGACGCGGCGTCACTCGGACAGCCAAGATCATTTAAAGGTGTAATCAGCTTGAACGAATGTAATTGGCAACACAGAAAGTATGCAATGCCTGAAACATAACATGATTAACAGATGGCGCACTAAGAAGTTGTTGCACAGAAGTAAGGAACGCGTAAGTGGAACATTGCGAAAGTAGAGAAGAAAAATGAGCTCGTTGCTGGAGCCACACGATGTGCATATTACGCCACACGATTATTGTAATTGAAAGATTTGGAAATGGCTATTTAAGAATTAAAATGACTTACAGCATTGATAGACATTTTGAATTACCTAAATTATGGTATTAGTTTTGTGTTAAATAAACGACGAAAGGAGATTGCATCATTTTGCATAGCCTTTGCAACCGCCACGTGCCAGCGCAGAGGCGTTTTCTGCGAAAGGAAGTGGTTGAGGAATTCCTAGAATTCCCCGTGCCTGTTGGAGCTTGCAGGCTTACGAATGCACTGGATCATTTGCGTACGGCTTCACCGGAGCGCCAAGGGCGTGGGCAGTCGTCGCCAGCGCACGATAATGCCATCAACAGAGCGTAGGACTCGCAGGCGGACGAGTTAGACGCAGGCATAGTAAATACATGAAAATATTAACACAGCCATCGAAGGGAGTTTGCTCAGGCAAAATGACTACTTCGAAAGGGACGGATTGTTGTTTCGGACTAGAGTAAACGCGGCGACTGCTATGAATTGATTATAATGAACGAGATATATCGTAGTACATAGTGCTAAAGGTCTGTCTCAAAACGGCGAATGCACATCTGGGTATCACAAAGAGTAAGGACTCCATGGTAAGATATTTTTATTGACCGAATTACTTTATAGACACGGAGACACGTGAGCACCTGCGACAGCTGCCAGAGGGTAGTTCGCGCAGGGAAGGAAAAGAAATCACTTCTAAAATTAGTCCCCGCCCTCTCAAAAGTGAAATTGAGTGGAAAAAGTGAAATGGATGGGTGTAAGCCCTTTTCAGAGGCAGGAGCCGGGAACAAGCATATTATCACCGTGTTCAAATTTTCGCTAGAACCTTAAGGAAATGATCATCAGCAACACTCATCGAAGCCTCTTCAAAATTTGTTACTAGAGTAGAGTTTTCGCGGGAAGTGCCTTATCTAGCGACAGACTTCACGAGGGCGTTGGCGGCCAAATTCGCAGAACGGTCCGAGGTGCGCAGCGAAAAGGCCTCATCATCGTGCGTAAGAAGGGGACAGCGCAGGTGAATGTAGAGGCCAAAGTCGTATTACTAGCTAGCCTGGAGTGACCTAGGCAAGTGCAAGAGGGCACCACGACAGGGGAGCCAAAATGTACAAAAACAGTGCAATTGTATAAAATTGTAAATACTATAGTTTTAAGAGGGTTACTGAGTGAATATAAAATGTCTTCTTTATTTTTAAAGTTTGTGTGTTTGTGAGAGGCAGTGTAAGGTTTGTGAGGGCTTGTGGAACTTGTTGCCGAAGGTTATGGTCATAGTAAAATTGTAAATGTATTATTGAAAATTTTGGAGGGCAACATGGTTAACATTAGAGTTAATGACTCTGGTTGTTCTATTTAGGGGCAAAAAGACATTGAATATTCTTGTTAGAGATTGACGCCAAGTTATGGTATAAACGGATATTAAGAAATTGGGATATTGAGGATAAAGTGTTCTGCTGTAAAGTGTTAATGATAGGTCGGCGTACAATCTTGGAACTTTTTCTCTGTGACTCGAAAACGTTGAGAAAAAAATTCTACCCCAAGTATGGGAGAGATCGTAACGTCATGACGTACTCGCCGGATCTCACAAGTCGGGAGGCTAGCGAGGGGGAGGGGTTGGCCATCTGGCGGCAGGCTGGCGGACGCCAAGCTCGAAGGGTGCGGACCGGGGCTAGTTGTCAGAACGTGAGTTTCAAAGCAGGTAGAATGATATGTGACGGCAGTCGCGTCCGACAGCGGTGGCGGACCCAAATTTGCAATGGGCCCAAAATTCGTTAATGAGGTGACGCGGGCCGCCGGTCGATTTCATGGAGGTCGGCCACGTGGATCCTCGAAAAAGCTGCAAGCAAAGGAACGTCCGGCATTCGGGTTTGAACGAAATTGCGGTGCGGAGGCACTTGTTACCCGCCTGAATTATTGCTAGCTTCGGCTGCGAGGTGTGGCGATTCGCCATGGGACGGGGGCCAGGAGCCGCGCTAAGTTAGCCGCTGGGCTCTGTGTCAGGCTGAGGATATGCCTCAGGGAAGTGCAGTGCTGGGGTGCAATGATAATTCTTCGGGAGTGTAATTATTGTACAAAAACATTGTAAATGAATCTGTACATGACAACCCAGTGTCTGTGTTTCACTCGTACCCCGACGAGGTCACAATATAAAATGCATCAAAACATAGCACTGTCAGTCAGCAAGACAATCACAAATAAATCACAGTTGTCAACTAAATTCACTCCTGTATTGTATTAATATATATATATATATATATATATATATATATTAATACAATATATATAATACGATATATATATATATATATATATATATATATATATATTAATACAATACATATAATACCATATATATATATATATATATATATATTAAAATGGTGCAGAGCAATATAACTTTGTCCAGAACTCCTTAAAATCAGAAGCACAATATGAAAGGCTACACCAAATAGGGCCTACTGAGGATGATATGTAATGTCTAAATCACATGCAACATAACTTTATTATTTGAAAATTACTTTTATTTTTGCACACACCACTTATTAACTGGCATTTAAGAACATCAAGTAGATAAATATTCTGTCGTTGCCCGTTTTATAAACATTCTGCACGTGTAATGTTTTCTGCTAATCTTAGCTGAATTAATCAGCAGCTTCTTTCTCTGACAAACACTCTTCAATACTTTGTGCGCAGACACAAATTTATTGCATATTACTGCAAATGTACTCCAACTTTCTTCAAAATAAGAACTGGATTCACACATACATTCGTGGACCGCATAATGATAAATCTGTAATGAATTATAAATTACAAGTGAAGATTAGTTATTTTATTAGAGAAGCGCAGTGGACATTAACCTCACAAGATCAAATTACCACTTACCATTGAGTATGGTAATGAACATTCTAATGGGAAGAAATTCTGCTTACAGCAGATACTCATCTTATTATTATGTCCTTTGAAAACTTAAAATACAAAAAAACTCTACAAAACCATAATTTACATTTATAAGACAGACTACTTCACACTCCACATAGCTCCGAACGGCGACTGCTGTCCACGCATTGCTGGGTGATTATCCCGACCAAACTCACTGCTCCCACTAAAGAATAAGGTTGGCAAACTGTACCGCGCCGTTGAACGTTAGGGGGCACAAGAAGTAATAAGAATTCAATGTTTGGTTGTGGGTTCTATGTACGTTCCAACTGCAGCTACATGATTAGTACTGACAACCAAGGCAATGTTACCTATGATAAATATAGTCACAAAATAAATTTCAATCCTCACAACTGTAAGACACGTTATCTTAGATTTGTGGTTGAGAGAGAGTATTTCTTTTCAGTGTACTAAATACTGTGCATCTGTATTTTCAGAGGTGGATATTATTAATATAAATTTATTTTAGTGAATTAACATGGATTATTACAATATTTTAAAATATTTCATAATATTTTCTTCAAGATTTCAAATGCGGAAAATTTGCAAAAATCCATGATCGAGTTGTCTAAGAGAACAACTTTAAATATATTTTTTCAAATTTAGAGAAAATTAAAATTCCATTATTTATGAAATTATGGATTCTGAGTGCTTGTAGCAATAATCTATACAGAACAATAAAATATTTAAATTAATTTGAATTTTAGTTCGACAACGTAATTAAAATTTACTTTTATTTGAGCTTATCACCTTTTACCTCAGGACGATAGATTTGTACAGGACGAGAGATTTGTAAAGAACACAGTTAACTTGAACCTTCAAACATAACAATGAAACGAATTCTTAGAGAACATGGACAGTCGTAATTGAAACAATTAATTTCGTTTCCATGGGTTTGTTTAATTAACTTCGTAGTTTCATTTTATATCGGGTGGGTGATGTATATGATTCGGCGTGAAGCTTTGGGTTATTTATATTTTATATAGTTGGAGCGGTACGTTGAAGAAAATTAATACTGTGGAAGTCAATAAAATATAACATCAGAGGCTATATTTTGATTGAAGCTTATAAAAGACAAATTAAACATCGGGCAAGAATCTACGCATCTACACGACTACTCGATTCCATATAATATTTTTAAATACACAATATTTCCAGAATGCGTGAGATCGTACACCTCCAAGCGGGCCAGTGCGGCAACCAAGTGGGAGCGAAGGTAACTCTTCAAATTTTATAAAATAAATGTATAATTTATCAAACATTGAAAATAAATATTAATTTTAGACGTAATTTTTACACGTTGACTACAGTAAATTACCTCCAATTTTCAGTTTTGGGAAGTGATATCGGACGAACACGGCATTGATCCCACTGGGTGCTACCACGGGGACTCCGATCTGCAGCTCGAAAGAATAAACGTGTACTACGTGGAAGCTACATGTAACTACAATTGCTAAATATTACAATACATCATAATGTTTTTCCAAGAGTAAATGTTATATGTATTCGTACATGCATATTCAATATTAAAATAACGAAATTCTTTGACATGAAAAATAATAATGTAGGTAAACTAAAATATTTAGTAAATCAAGATGTTATACCATGGTTCTAGATTTTTATTTAACGGAGTGTTCAACTATAATACTTTTTGTAACAACATACTTATTGACTTATTCACGGTGCGTCATTTTTGTTTACATTCTATGAGAGTTGTATTTAAAACAAATGAACAAATATATAGTCAATTTTTGAGCGTGAATATCAAATAAACAGTGACATTTTCCCAAATTTCTCTAAGATCAGACAACTGACCAAAAAATGGTTCGGATAATGTCAAGGGCATTCTTTACGAGTTGCGTATTTTTTGTCGGGGGGGCCACACTCTGATCCTTCAATGGAAAGGGATAGGTGTTTGTGAATATAGTATATTTAAACATCTAATCTGAATATAGTATCGAATGAACGACACGAAAATGCCCGTAACAAAATAAATTATAACCGAATAAAACAAAACATTTCTTGTGCATATGTAAATTTGCATAATTGTATTTAGTTTCGTGGACACTGAGAACCAATATAACAAGAACAAAAACTCACAATGTCAATTTAAATATTTTACAAACTATAAATATAAATTTTAGCATAACCATTGTTGACTTAAATATTAAATACTGATTGAAATTAATACTTCCAGGTGGAAAATATGTTCCACGGTCAGTGCTGATCGACCTGGAACCCGGCACCATGGACGCCGTCCGCTCCAGCCCCTTCGGCCAGCTCTTCCGTCCGGACAACTTCGTGTTCGGGCAGACGGGCGCCGGCAACAACTGGGCCAAGGGCCACTACACCGAGGGCGCCGAGTTGGTGGACTCGGTGATGGACGTGGTGAGGAAGGAGGCGGAGAGCTGCGACTGCCTGCAAGGCTTCCAGCTCACCCACTCGCTGGGCGGCGGCACTGGGTCTGGAATGGGCACGCTGCTCTTGTCCAAGCTCCGGGAGGAGTACCCCGACCGCATTCTGGCTTCGTTCAGCATATTTCCTTCGGCCAGGGTAAGCGAGGTTTAAGGAAAATAACTGAATAGCATCGTTAATTAATGTTGTGGAGTTTCTCTTTAAATAAACAGATTTAAACAAAATATAACTGTGCAAGGTGTTCCACGTCTTTGTGTTGGCAGAATATTTTTCACGATGTCTTTACGAAGTAAATAAATTTTCAAGTAGATCAACACGATTCCACAAATGAACGTCTCACAATTTTTTATATACAATAAACAGCTTCTTGCAATTCAATGTGATTTAGGTGCGTCAAGTAATTGAAGTATTTGTAATTCATAAATTTACGTATTTCTTATCGCTGAAATAATACGCTAGCAATAACTAGTACAATGATAACTGTTAATAAAAATAAACTTGTTTTCACATGACATTCAACAGATTTCCAAAATCTCTATTCTCTCTCATTTCTTGGCAGTTTAAGTAGTACCTTGTCTTCAATTACGTCCTTTTCTTAATCACGTGCAATGGTTATAATTGTATGACGATCTGTGCAGTGCGGTATTAGCGGACGATATCAAAACTCTTTTTTTTTCTTTCAAGTACTTCAAGAACCATTATATGAGCAATCGAGGTTAATTGTACGTTAGCTTTGTGAACTGTCAATGAATTCAAGAAACGTGGCGAGTCATGACTATTTTTCTTGAAACTTTCATGCTGCCTTTATATGTGTCTATTAAGCAAGACTGAAGTAGTGCCATCAGATTGTTAAATTAGCTGCTTCCACGCACCTTTATATTTTTCTACTCTGTTATTTGAGGTTTAATACGTTTACCAATTTTACTCATTGACGCTCTGCCAGATAGACTACAGTTCCCAAACATTAACAATCTTTTCCCGTCATTTCGAGACTTGTAATTAATAAATTTGAGTCAGTGATCTACTAGATTACAAGGATAGGTGAATGCAGATACCGAACAGAATCCAAATTGTTAAATTTCATTAGTTCACATCTCGAGAATTGAATACCAAACTTAGTTGGGATCTTAAATTGTATCCAGAAAGTAATATTTGTAAATAAAATGTATTTGATGAGGAGAGACTAATAAAATATTTCCAAAACATACTATTATAATACTATTGTTCAGTAGAAAATTTAGTATTATATAATACTATTGTTTAGTAGAAAATGATGAAGGCGTAATGTGCTTACAGGAAAAGGGCCACTAAACACCACTTACAGCAAGCCTGCGTCGATAGTGGAAAGCGAACGCCCCAAGTTCCCGCGCATTGGAGATGTCAAGAATTCAACACCGCTCTGGAGCCAGAAATGTGCTTCATGTGTACCTAAAGTGCACACAAGCCGTCATACACTTAAAGGATTACTGTCGTCTTCTTGTTCTTCTTCTTCTTCTTCTTCTTCTTCTTCGACGGTTTCTACCCCTTAGAGTTAGCCGTTTTCGATTTCCATAATTCTCGGTCCTCCCATTGACCCTCTTCCAATCCTTTCTCCTCCATAACGTTTGTGTGAGGGCTGTGGAACTTGTTGCCGAAGGTTATGTCATAGTAAAATGTAAATGTATATTGAAAATTTTGGAGGGCAACATGGTTCATTAGAGTTAATGACTCTGGTTGTTCTATTTAGGGGCAAAAGACATTGAATATTCTTGTTAAGATTGACGCCAAGTTATGTATAAACGGATATTAAGAAAATTGGGATATTGAGGAATAAAGTGTTCTGCTGTAAGGTTATGATAGTCGGCGTACAAATCTTGGAACCTTTTTCTCTGTGACTCGAAAACGTTGAGAAAAAAATTCTACCCCAAGTATGGGAGAGATCGTAACGTCATGACGTACTCGCCGGATCTCACAAGTCGGGAGGCTAACGCAGGGGAGGGGTTGGCCATCTGGCGGCAGGCTGGCGGACGACCAAGCTCGAAGGGTGCGGACCCGGCGGCTAGTTGTCAGAACGTGAGTTTCAAAGCAGGTAGAATGATATGTGACGGCAGGCGCGTCCCGAACAGCGTGGCGGACCCAAATTTGCAATGGGCCAAAATTCGTTAATGAGGTGACGCGGGCCGCCGGTCAATTTCATGGAGGTCGGCCACGTGGATCCTCGAAAAAGCTGCAAGCAAAGGAACGTCCGGCATTCGGGTTTGAACGAATTGCGGGTGCGGAGGGCACTTGTTACCCGCCTTAATTATTGCTAGCTTCGGCTGCGAGGGATGTGCGATTCGCACTGGGACGCGGGGCCAGGAGCGCGCTAAGTTAGCCGCGGGCTCTGTGTTCAGGCTGAGGATATGCCTCAGGGATGTGCAGTGCTGGGTGCAATGATAATTGTGTCGGAGTGTAATTATTGTACCAAAACATATGTAAATGAATCTGTACATGACAACCCAGTGCTCGTGTTTTCACTGTACCCCCGACGAGGTCACAATATAAAATGTGCATCAAAACATAGCACTGTCAGTCAGCAAGACAATCACAATTAAACAAGTTAACTGAATCACCTCCTGATGTATATTATTATATCATATATAAATATATAATATATTATATAATATAATTATATATATATATAATTATGACATTAATATAATTACGATATATTATATATTAATTATATATAATATATATATATCATATCTAATATCAATTATAACTAATCATTTACTTATTTATATAATATATTATATATATATTAAAATGCTGTGCAGAGCAATAAACTTTGTCCAGAACTCCTTAAAATCAGAAGCACAATATTGAAAAGGCTACACAAATAGGGCCTACTGAGGATGTATGTAATGTCTAAATCACATGCACAATAACTTTATTATTTGAAAATTACTTTATTTTTAGCACACCACTTATTTAACTGGCATTTAAAACATCAAGTAGATAAATATTCTGTCGTTGCCCGTTTTATAAACATTCTGCACGTGTAATGTTTTCGCTTAATCTAGCTGAATTAATCAGCAGCTTCTTTCTCTGACAAACACTCTTCAATACTTGTGCGCAGACACAAATTTATTGCATATACTGCAAATGTACTCCAACTTTCTTCAAAATAAGAACTGGATTCACACATACATTCTGGACCGCATAATGATAAATCTGTAATGAATTATAAATTACAGTTAGATTAGTTATTTTATTAGAGAAGCGCAGTGGACATTAACCTCACAAGATCAAATTACACCTTACCATTTGAGTAATGGTAATAACATTCTAATGGGAAGAAATCTTGCTTACAGCTATGATCTATCTATTATTAGTCCTTTGAAAACTTAAAATACAAAAAAACTCTACAAAACCATAATTTACATTTATAAGACAGACACTTCCACACTCCACATAGCTCCGAACGGCGACTGCTGTCCACGCATTGCTTGGAGTGATTTATCCACCCAACTCACTGCTCCCACTAAAGAATAAGGTTGGCAAACTGTACCGCGCCGTTTTAGGGGGCACAAGAAGTTAAGAATTCAATGTTTGGTTGTGGTTCTATGTATGTTCCAACTGCAGCTACATGATTAGTTACTGACAACCAAGGCAATGTTACCTATGATAAATATAGTCACAAAATAAATTTCAATCCTCACAACTGTAAGACACGTTATCTTAGATTTGTGGTTGAGAGAGAGTATTTCTTTTCATGTACTAAATACTGTGCATCTGTATTTTTCAGAGGTGGATATTATTAATATAAATTTTTTTAGTGAATTACAATGATTATTACAATTTAAATATTTCATAATATTTTCTTCAAGATTTCAAATGCGGAAAATTTGCAAAAATCCATGATCGAGTTGTCTAAGAGAACAACTTTAAATATATTTTTTCAAATTTAGAGAAAATTAAAATTCCATTATTTATGAAATTATGGATTCTGAGTGCTTGTTAGCAATAATCTATACAGAACAATAAAATATTTAAATTAATTTGAATTTTAGTTCGACAA